ATTGGCTTCATTTTTCAGATTTGGAGGCCAAGTCCCTCTTTGATATACCATCTATGTGGAGGAGCAACTTGCACAATTAAATAGATACCTACTTCCTTCCAGCCATAGTTTCAGCACTATGATTAATACAGAAACGAGTAAAAAATAACTGAATTTCAAACTGTTTTTGTTAGCCTTTATGCCCTCTATCTTCTGCACGGCACTCGGCAAATCAGCCAGCTATTTGTGAGTGTGGGTGATCATTAGCGGTGTGCTTTGCTCACCAGACCTAAGGGTGTGTGATTTATTTCTAGAGCCACCCGTCAAACAAAGGTTGCCTCTTGTCATACTGACAAGCGGCCAATCCAATCAGCCTGAATGATGACGGGGTGGACACATGCTAATTAGCTCCAGCAACCATGAGCATGGCCAAACAAAGGATGGCGTTGCGGCCGTGCTTTGTTATCCTGTGTGGGATTTGTGTCCATGCAGCTGCAAATGTACACGATGTACAAATGATAGTGAGAGAGAGCTCCTCTCTATGAAATGTATTTATGTTGTGTGTGTCCTCACTCAGGGAACGTATGAATCATAACCGAGTAGCTGGAGCCCGTGGGCAGGGTGGCGTAAGTTCATCAGAGGTCAGACAAGCTGCCCACACACTGCGACGAGCCAACGAACACAGCATCGTGCTCCAAATCTTAATGACGTACGGGCAGAAAATTCCGATGCCGCTCAAAGACAATGCAGAGTAACTTGAGCTCAAGTAGAAACAAGAGCTCGACAGGGACGAGCGAAAAGCAGCCTTTACCATCTGGAGCCCATTTCAAGCCCAGTCTGCTGAGCGTGATTGTATCTGAGGCTGACAATATTCAGCAGAGACGCACGACTCTCGAGTAGCACAATGAAAGCACTCCTGAAGCTTTTTAGCGACATGTCATCAGGAGTCCAACTTTTCATCTCGCCTTGGTGAGCGTGTTGGTTTCCTGCAATTTGCATGAATGAATGAATGCCACTTGGGGAGACCTTGAGCGAGAGCAGAAGGAGCAGTACGAGCTCTAAAGAGTGGAGAGCATATAAATATACAAGCAACAGAGAGAAGGACGGCACAGTAAAAATAGGAGCTTTCTGAGTGCTTTGACTTGCAGAGTGTAAAGTATAAAATTGAGATGTTGAAAGAAAAAAGGAATTCCTCTCTCTCTACTCACTTCCTCTTTTCACTTTTTAATGCAGCCGTGAACAGAAGGCACTGACACTTCCCTAATATTGATCAGATTCAATGATTTTCCCTGGAAGGCAGCGTTGTTAACCATTCAGATATTTGTTCCTTTGCTGTGACTGACTCTATGTGGTATTTTTGGCACTCAGTCTCACCATGATATGAAAGACTTCTGCCTCATATTGGGCTGGGCGACATAAGACGAAAATCTATCACGATCAAGCACACTCACATTCACACCTACGGACAATTTAGAATCACCAATAAACCTCAACATGTTTATGGACTGAGGGAGGAAGCCGGAGAACCCGGAGAGAACCCACGCTGCATGGAGAGAACATGCAAACTCCACGCAGAAAGATCCTGGGTGTCCTAACTGGGATGCAAACCAGTGAGGTGACGGTGCTAACCACTGATCCACCTTGCAGCCCATAAATATTAATATCTATTTATTTTTGGGGGGATTTTATTAGACAGGGCAGAGAGAGAGACAGGAAAGTGGGGATAGAAGAATGGGGGAAGGACCCGCAGCAAAGGCCCATGGGTGGGAGTCGAACCCATGACTGCTGCATCGGGGACTATAGTCCCTATACACGGGACGCCAGCTCAACCAGGTGAGCTCTAGCTATCTATTTTTAGCTATTTTTATTAGAACCCCATCAGAATAAAGTTTGAATTTGAATTTAACCGTATTAGCCTGTTAGTCAAGGTCCAAAGGTTGATCATTTTAGTGTGAACACACAAATAAAAAATACACATTTAAACAAATCTACGCACATACATATAAATAAATAAGGATAAAGGAATGTTTTGGACCACAGAGGCCATCTCCCAAAGGCAACCAATGGTTCCTGTCAGCCACAGCTTCCACCAGGGGAGATCTGCGGGCTCGGCTGGATGAATCGAGACGCCCAGGCGGCCGCAGACTATCGTGCCTCGGGAGACCTGCACGGAAACCACGAGGAGACCGACGGAGGGCGAAGGAGCTTCATTATGAAAGCTGTTTATGAGCCAGCGAGGTGCTAACTTGGGGTTTGTTCGTGCAACTGAACTAAGTGATTCTATGTGTTCTCACTGCAGATAGTCAGTACATATCACTATTACTTTAATGTGCCTACTATTGTCAACTTATTTATGTCTAAATAATCCACCGTCTTCTTCAACAAGCTTGTTTGAGTGGAAAAAAATCTTTGGTGCATTTCTGTGCTCAGAGAGGCACAGGAGATTCTGAATTATACAACAAGCATCCTGAATTTTGAATGTGAAGTGTTGCCATCAGGCAGAAAGTGTAAACTAAAGTGGCACGAGAATTCTTTCATCCCATCCACCATCAAGATATCAGAGGACTCTATGACTTCATTGGGTTTCATACATTGTGACATTTTAATTAGTGTCTACAATAAGGCTTTATTATATCGATGTATTTTATCAATCTATTTTTCCATTACCTCTTATTTTAAAGAGTCACTTATTTGACTGCACTGATTTTTTAATTAGTTTTTATTACCTAACAAACTGCTGGTCGATTATCTCTGGTTTATTATTAACTGTAGGTACTGTCAATATGACATTAGGCATGTTTTTTTATTATCTAAATGCTTGCATGTACATGGATTATGAAGCTGCCGTCAAGAGTGAAGTATAATGCTGTAGCACAAGATCCATAGGCTGTTTTTTTTCCCTGCTTGAAGGTTCTAGGACGGCCTGAACCTTTGTGTACGTTCCACTATAGAACCTCTTCAGGGCTGTTTTGGGGGAGAAGAAAGCATCTTTAGACTAAACTCAGAGAGGACAAGGAGTGGCATTTTTCTGTCCTCTCAAAGTCTTCGTCTAGTTGCCGCCTTCTCCTCTCTAACATCGCCGCCACCAACGTAAAATTTGCAAACATAACAAGCTTCTGCTGCTTTGCGTGATCATAGAACTGGAGCTTCGTCCGATCGCTGCATTTTGTCGCTGCTTCGGTGAGTGCAGTAAAGCCTTAATCATTTTTGACAAGATTCCTAAAAAGTGTGAAGGAGAAACGCTTTGTGCCATGAACAGTGCCGTCCACTTAGAGCAGCTGCTGACTGCTATAATCGCTGCTTCACCACTCACATCTTCTTTGACCTGTCGCCTTGCCTTTTTTCTTTCTCCTTGCCTTCCTCTTACGACCACGGTCTCTTCATCATCCCCCCCCTCCCTCTTTCCTTTCCTTCCGTCCTTCCTCTCCTCATCTCATCAGCTCCTCAGACACTGTGTCTCACTGGTGCTCCCATTACAATGCCCAGGGTGCATCACCACTCCATCTCCCAGTAATGGATTTCCAATGCTTCGACCATCTTGCCTGTCACGTGGCCATGTCTCCTCCCTGGGTAGCATCACTCTGTAAGCTGTTTAGAAATGCATGAATCCTCCCTGTGTTATTGTACTCATTCCGTCATTACTCACTCCCCAGACAGAGCAGCGGTGCACGACCCCCACTCGCTTCTTCTGCTGCACTGTCGCTTCTATTGCATCTCATCGCAAGACCGACTCCATCCAAAAAGCTATTTCGTCCTGAGTCACAATGCAGGGATGTATAATAAAACCCTCGAGAAGAATGCAGGTTATTGTTCTGATCGCCGTGCAAAATTAAATGCAAGAACTGAGTTTGGCTTTTTAACAGCGCCAGAATGAAACTCTTTGACAGTTGTCTGCCAGATTTTTTAAAAAATGTGTACACACATTTGTCCTTCATTGCTCACAATCAGCAGCATTTTAATTAGCTGTGAAATGGCAATTTGGATACCCTGGACTGGCGCACTTTCCTGGGAAACCATCCATGTGCTGTTACTGCAGGGTCTGAATGCAAATCATGTTTGTCAATCTTGTCGGTGTCACGTTATCTTTGCTTCCTCGCTTTTGTCTTCGAATCGCTGTTGAAAAACTAAATTGTTTGCGATTGTGATGGCATTTCATCGGATCAATCAATCAATCAATCAATCAATCACACAACATCACACAGAAACATCACTTTTGTACGCCACATCACTCTACAGGTTTTAAAATGTGCAAAAGTAAATCCTTTGCCTTCATCAAACAAAAAAAATCTCCTCTCCTCTGTGGATCTGGGAGGCCGTTGGTGATTCAGCTGCCACCAACAGTCAAGTGACAAAAAATTTGAGGGCTTTTCAGCTGGATTGGGCTGAACTGCAGGCTGTGTTCACACAAAACAGATGAGTGAAATAAAAAGTATGAAAACAAATTACTCTGTACTTCTAGTCATGGTTGTGTTGTGTCCATGGAGGTTCAGAACTTTATATTGCTTTGAAAAATGAGTTCACAGTGAATAAAAATGTGACAGGAGCAAAAAAAACCAACAACAATGCCCTAAAAAAGTGCTTAATATTTTAGCATTTTGACTTTTTATATTTATTATATTATAGAAGCTGATCTTACAAGTGTGTTATGTCTTCATTGGTTGATTTTAGTATCTCATATTTGTTTCATGTCTTTTTTAAGAGTTGATTTTACACATTTTTTTATCATGTTTTCTGTTTTGTTCATATTTTTATTCTTGCACGTTGCTCAACTCTTTGTTTTAAAACGTGCTGTATGAATAAACTTAATTTGATTCGAATATTAATCATTACATCCACTTGAACCAATTTGAGTCCAATCCATAGCAGGATTCTTTGCTAAACGGATTCATGGTCAGGCTCATACCCACACATGGCTTTTATTTATGTGCAAAAACAAACACTAATAAAGTGCATTATCACCCAAAAAATGCACCCCTTATTCCTTTCAGTGCATCGCTCTAAATTTGTGAATTTCGTCTTACCTTTGGTGTTTTGGTGCACTTTCCATTTCTGGCATCTTTTATGTACGCTATATCCAGCAGGTCTGTATCCTGTAAACAAGAAGGAGCAGAGGCAGTGTTAATTTAAGGCTTCAAAGACTCGTTATGACAAAAAAGACATTTAATGCGCGTGGAAGTCACTCGGATTCAAGGTGACAGGATGCATTTAAGGGACCTTTTCCATTATCAAACCTGTCACCTGTGGCTGATGTGTGTCTGTGTGTGTGTGTGTGTCTAAACAGCCCTATGTGCTGAAGGACACGCATTAGCCTCAATTTCGGATGTCGCATGGGAGTCATTCAGGGCAGACAGATGCAGCCCCAGTGACATTCAGTGCTGAAAAAAAGTGTCAAATGAGGGCAAAAGTGGAACGTTCCCATATTGACAGATGAGTCGGCTAAATGAGTGGCTCCCACACAAACACTCAACTGCTTTTTGGAGAATTTCCTCATAAAAGCGGATAAGGGACTAGGGAAACACACCAGAAAACAAAAAATGTACTGTTTGTAATGATGGATAATTCGGGCCGTAGTGTCCAGGTGGATCGGTCAATGGTTGGTCAATATGCTTTTATCCAAACATTGGTCAGACAACAGCCAATGTTACCTTCATAAGGCACCACATCAATAGCCTTTCAGGATTAAACGATTATTTTTGGCTACCTGTGAACACCCCTACATTATCACAACTTTGAATGGTAAATGGTAAGTGGTCTGCTATATATAGCGCTTTTCTATCTTAGCGGTACTCAAAGAGCTTTACAATGTTTTCTCAATTTCCCATTCACACACACACATGCATACACCAATGGCGACAGAGCTGCTATGCAAGGCGCTAACCTTGGCCTTCACTGGGAGCAACTTTGGGTTCAGTGTCTTGCCCAACAACAGTTCGACTGTGGAGGGAGATCGAACCACCAACCTTGCAATTAGAGGACAACCTACTCTACCATCTCAGCCACAGCCGCTGCAACTGAGCCAACCCAATGAAGAACGCTATGTCTAACTTATTTAACATTAGTAAAAGTTTACTTCAAGTGGGCTAAAAACTAACTAACACCATGTGAAGGAAATTGTTGGTGTGGCTGCATTTTATTTGAATGGACCGCCACTGTGGCGCCATGGAAATCTCAAGTTTGGCATTTGGTCATTGTCTCATTGCTCTTTTAAAACTAAACGGTCAAAGGGATGGTGGATCTGACTCTGAATTTGTGGACACTGTATATACAGTAGCGACAGTTAGCTCCACCTTAAAGCATACCCTGCCTTATTGTCTATTTTAATCTAAATGCTACTATAATTTACAAAAAGAGCACCAAGCTGTATTAAAGGAGGCTTGAAACTAGGGATTGAGACCATAAACTCATTAAGAAAACATTTGTTCAGGTAACAAATTAAGTGAGAAGTAGGGTCATTTTCTCACAGACTTCTATAAAATCAGATTTCTTTTTGCAACCAGGGGAGTCGCCCCCTGATGTCCATTAGAACGAATGCAAATTGGCTTCACTATTCCGACAGGGAGGCTAAGTCCATCTTTTATATACAGCCGGTGGTGTAAACTTTGTAAACATCAATTTGCATACAACAACAACAACCAACCTGCCCTATCATCTAAAAACAGTTGCTAACTCATCTGGGTTACATTCCTCAATAATTCATGTGCAGGGATCACTAGTTGATATCGTTCTATTTTCAGAAACGAATGTGGGCAGCTGTTCTTATCATCATAGTATAAAACAACCAGCTGCAACTTATTTAAAATGTTGTAAATACTAGCTTTTGGTGTTTATTTACACATAATTTAGGGTAGTAAGGCTAGCATGTTGAGAGCTCTCAGTGTACTGACGATTATGTGCAATTTTTTCCTCCCCCAAACATGAACTGATTGGGTAAAGAGAAAGTACAATTTTAGTCAACAAACATTTCCTTTGGTTCACTACAGCCCTGCAGATAATGTCATCAGCTGCATCCTACCGCTGGAATCACTGCTGGCAGGGCAAGAAGGAGATTAGATGCAAAACACTTCACACATACACAATGTTCCGCTGCTGCTCGGCCATAACACCTTGGACTCAGCTGTGTGATGACAGTCAACTGGCAAAGAGACACTACATGGCACCCTCGTGAAGTCAGCCTTACATATCGGCATTATGAGCAAACCAAACACTGATGCGATGCTCTCTGTAGCGGCATTTTAACTCATCACCGCGGCTCTGAACAGAAGCTGTGGCCCTATTGTTCATTCATAAAAAATACAGCAGAGAGGGAAGCCATGTCGCAGCTCCCTGTTCCATCTAACAGCTCCGACGTCACATCGCTCTATTGTAATCCAGGGGCAAAGTGGGACAGCATTCAAAACAGGAGTGCTGAAATATTGACACCATAAAACACTGACAACAATGAACTCTCCTTCCTTGTTCTCAGTTTACGGAAGCCTTTTTGTTGAATTAAAACAAAAAAACATGTGATTTCATAGTAATTCCTGGTGATCTAAACTTAGCTCTGCCTCTATCGAGCCGACCAACTGTAGGAAAGACACCTGTGTCCATCTATAAAAAGGATACACACCACACATACAATATGCATCCATCAACTCAGCTGTCTCCGTTCATGCATTCATCAATCCATCGACCAGCTCTGCTTCAAGCCTTTTTGCAAACCTATTGTCCCGTAAAGTGCCTGTAATGTGTTCAGCAATAGATATAAGCGAAACGCAGGAGCACAGGAGGCCCTTCCTCCGGTCACCACAACCCTTATCAGTCTGGATTATCTCACTCGCCATCTCTCTGAGAGGGAGCCAGGACATGAGGTGGAAAATTAACCAGAGTGAACTGTGTGTCCACTCAGCATTATCTGCGGAGACAAGAGGCGACTGGGGCTTGACTCAATCTCTAACGGCGATATCTGACCATCTCGGAACTATGAGGTTGGTGGAAAATTGCAACTGGCCATTCTTTGTTATCTACAAACACATACCGACCTCAGGGAACCTCCTCTAGGACTACTTTGCATTTATATCAGAGTTTTCTAAAAAGGGTTTTGTTGATGCAAATTCTACTAGTTGTAATAGTTGAAATGTGCAGTTTATTTTTTACCTGTTGTCATAATAGACGTCAGTGTGATTTTTTTCAGGTTTTACACTCTGACAATGTAATTGTTAAAAAAAAAAAAAAGGTATTCCTCAGGGTTCCAACTTTGGGCCTCTTCTTTTTTTTTTTCAATAGTTTTATTAGCGACTTATCTCAGACCTGCTCAAATTGTCTTGTTCGCCTTTATGCTGATGATACTGTTATTTCCGCTTCCAACCCAAATACAGTAGATACAATACAAACTTGCAAAATACTGCTTTTTTCCTGTAATCTGAATATCATTTTTGTTGATGGGTCACCCCTTTTGAATGGTAATTACTTTGGATATGCTTGACTTTGAACTCATCTGGAACTCTTTTACACCCCCTGAAATAACGTCACTTATTTATAATGCTGAATGCTTCACATTCCAAGTAAGAAAAACAATAATTTCTCAGGAGATACTACATATTATTGATTATGCTAACAGTATCTATCACAGTACTTGTGACACATATCTTAGACCCTTTAATGTTGTACGTTATTCTCTCTGTAGGTTTGTTTTGAGGTTTCCATGTATAATTCACTATTGTTTCATGCATTAATCACTTAAATCTAGATGGGAATTTCAATGGGTAACACTTCACTTTCAAATGAGTTTATTTATACGGCCTCTCTTACATAAAACAGCTTCTGGCTCCTTGTACATCTTCATATCCACTCAGACATACGCAATATCCCTTCTTCATTGTCCCTTGAATTTTCAGAGGTCGGCTGCAGGTCGTTCCAATACAAAGCTCCATCTGACTGGATAATCTTCCTCTGTTTCTAAGATCTATGAACTCTTTCTGCTGCTTCGGGTCATTTTTCCTTTTATTCATCTTAAAGCAAGCTATCTATGCTTTAAATTTGCATCCACTTTATTTTTATTTAGTTTATTTGTGCTATAAACACTCAGAACTAAAACTACCTCAGATGCTCTTCATGCTGATGTAATTAATTTATGATTTTGGTCTTTGCAACTGATCTCTTCCTTTACAACAACTGAGGTCTGGGCGTAGTGGATGGGAGAAGGGAAGCGAGCCGTGTATATTTGTTATATATAATTTGTTGTATAATGATGTGTTTGCATGCTTTTTGAGGACCCCATTGAAAACAAGACGCTACATCTCAGGAGGGTTGTCTTTTAATAAATTCAGATTTGGCTCTCAAGATGCAATGATGATAATACTTTTCACTTTTTGCCCCTTGATAGAAATTGAAAACCCATTTTGCTTTTCATTGTAATAGCACATTCAACCCAGGTGCAGCTGAGCAAGAAAACAACTAAATCCAAACTTTTGGCAGCAACATTAAACACTTGAATATTTAAATTTTAAAAATTCACCACTTTCCTGCAGTGGACACACAGCTGCTGTCTGTCTCCAGATAATATGTGTAAATTAAAGTACTCTATTCTACTGCTATATTCCACGAGGACAAGTTATTCCCTTTCTGCTATGTGCATAACATCAATTAGACTGTCCCTGTTTGCACAGAGCGAGAGCCTCTGAGTCAAAGGTTAACGCCTACATCGGCTCTGGAAACGTCTGCCTTTGAAGTCTCTTTAGAGAGATGGAGCTCCACATGTGGGCCTGGAGGAACAGTGGGGCTTCAGGAAGTAGCTCGCTGATGGGGTTCTTTTTTTGTGCCCTCTGGCTCTGCACAGTTAGCGCAGCTCTGAGCTAGTTACCCGTCATCAGTTAACCTATAGAGACGACTCATTAAAGGTAAAGCAAACTGACTGTATGGGTGACAAGCTGCTCGCGCTGCGTGACGATATCTTTGTGTGCAGCCATTAAAAGAAGAAAAGACCTCAGTCAGCATTTGCTACCGTGTGCAGAGGCTTACTCATTATGCAGATGTAAATAAAATCTGATGCCAATGACATTTTATTAATACTGAGTTGGATTTATAATTGCAAAAGCTGCACAGTAAGCTAATT